TCTAAGCCATGAATGTATTTTCATTAGAAGAGAATGTTTTCATATTTTCAGTAGGTTTCTTTTAATACAACAGTTATGTGCATATAATAAGAGAAAAAAAGTTATTTTCACGCGGAATATATCAACAGCTGAAAATATTCGTAATTTAAATTGTTCTACTCATTTATTAGTTAGTAGTATGATGACTACTGAAAAAATAAAAAAATTGTTCATTACGGTAAAATGTTATAATAACTTATTCACAGAATTAGTTGTACAATATTGTAATTAATTTATCTTTAACATGCATTCAAATTATAATTATAATCAGAAAGGGGTTTTGTGGATAGTATAGTATTCTAACAGTTGAATTAATGGGTCAATTGAAGTTAGACCGTCATAGAAAACCTGGAAACACTGAACGCCGTTTCGTCGTATCTGGGACTGCTGAGCAGTGAGCATCCACGATCCCGCACGCGCCACTCGTACCCAGAATCTTCGGTCTTACGCGCGAACGCCCAACTTCTAGACCACTAACCTGTCATCCAATGGTATTAATGTCTTATTCCAATCAATCCACATAAATTCATTGTCATAATATTTAAATCATTAGCAAGTAATTAGTCAAATATCTTGACTACTGGTTTTTAACTATTAGTGCCTCTAGATACTTTTTTATGAAATCTAACATATACTAAGTCTTTACACTATACCAAAGATTGCTATTTTCTGTACCTTAACGATAATAATCATGTAAATTACTTAACTACTAGTAACTAATATATAAGTATATCCGTGTACAAGACAGTAATTATCTGGACTCAATAACTAAGCGGATAACGAATTAGACATTTAAAGTGAAGAGATTAGGTTCAAGGTCCAATATGATATATCAACAATGAAGTGTGGTCATATCAAAATAACAAGTTTCAAATAGGATGAAACGAGCATCTTGAATTCTCCTGTTAGATAGTATACAACTCTGCTTGTAACGGAATAAGAATATTGAGACAATCTGCACAAGATGTGTACATGACGTGATGCTAAGGAGAAAACTCTGTATAAAAATACAACTACAGTATCAGAAAAACCCAGTTGCTAAGGTTGATCTAATCCACGAATTTCTTAAGGTTATTCAACTCTGAATCCGTGATCTTAAAAAGCCAACTTGAAACACACTTGATATTCTACGTCACTTGAGATCGCGTTATTTATGTATGGATGTTCATTAGTTGGAGTCAGTTGGTGGGAAGCTATGCTTGACCTTAGTTTCATGCTAATTAGCGCTAATCAACCAGACTTATCTGGAGTCTTGAAAGAACTACTAGTTCCAATGGGATTCGGACAGGAATAGTACAATGTTAAAGTAACAGACTATCTACTTAAGTAACATTAGATCGTGTTTGAATGGGGAAATCATTTCCCCTAAAATTCTAGGTACACCTTATTGATGATAGCCAACTAGAACAAAAGTACGACCTAAGACTTGCTAAAGAATTACCTCAGACCACTTAACAGAAATGGATAATTTCATTGGTCATTCATTTATCATGTAAATTTATTAGATTAACCACATCACTATGTGATACTCAACACAGACTTACTGTAGTGAAACTTATATTACTGAATAAATTATGTGATAAGTGTTACCTTAATCGGCTGATGAATACGTAAAGTATCGCGAATTGATTGTACTGATAACTTGGTCACTGTATAATCAAAAATATTCTCAATTCAATCCCTTTCACTGGCATAAATGTGCAGTGATCAAAATATGATCGAGATCATGAACCGATTGATGTTAGACCACCTTTGTAAACCTGGGAGCACTGGACGGCCGTTTCGTCCTGTTGTGGAACTCCCAGCAGTGCACATCCACGATACCGCTCACGAGATTCAAACCCAGGGCCTTCGGTTCAGTGCTTCCAGGTTTCCAAAGGTGGTCTAACATCAATCCGTTCATGATCTCAATCAAAAACTTAATAATCTCCACAACCCCTATACTAGCAAAATAAGATCATTGCTAAATACTCTCTGTTTTTCACTGATTGTCTAGCTACAGTCGGTAAATAATATAAAACACAAATAACCATTGATAATTTATCACGTCCAAATATCAAATTTCTTCTTTCTCCACAATTTCACTTGTTTTAAAATATTAGTCAAATTTTTTTAGTTTTTAATAGTTTAATTGATGAGTTGATGACCGTTTATTTGTAGTATAGGATTCCTCATCAGTACACATCCATAATCACGCATACCGGACTCGAATTCGGAATCTTCAGTCTCGCGGTCGAACGCTTAAACCCTAATTTGTTTATCTGTAATCAATAGTTCTGCAATGATTTTTCTTTCCTTACATAAAATGCACATATTTAATTGAATTGTTGGCGAGACTATAATTTATGAACGACCTTTGAATAAATTTTAAGTGACCTTGATGAATATTAGCCAGTCGGAAAACAGTTTGTATGGAGTAAAAATACGTCATACAAAACCAAAGAATTAAAGTGGATACACTTCTTTTATCAACCGGCGGCCTGCTTGAATATCTGGGCTACCTGTTCCTCCGATCTAGATATTTCATCAAGTTATCTGTTTTGTTGTTTGTTTTAGCACATCACTATGTCTATTGTGCGCACAACCTATTCAGGCGCGTTTATGAAAAGTTTACAACCTTTCGCTATACGGGATACAAAAAGGTACAATCAGCGACATCATGGTTGCTGGCAATATGCATTGAAACAAATGAACAGTAATCAAATGTGGATTACCGAACTTCTAACATCTAACTGGTCATCATTCAAAATTTATCGATCAAGGTAATAAGAAAAGGAAACTTGTTGAAATACTTTATGCCGAGAATTCTATGTTGTACCAAAAATATAATGTTGAATAAAGCTAATAATAATAATAATAATAATATATGGTTGAAAAAATTGTCAAGGTTAGTAAGAGGTTCAGTGGTTCTAAAATCGTAATGCATACGGTAGAAGAAGTTATCCGTATAACTTCATAATAGTAGGCCTCTTGAGCCATGATAAAGTCGCAAAAACTCTTTCAACCTTGACCAAACAGCTTCGACGTTGTTTGTATGTACTCCGGTTATTGAATCCACAAAATGTTGCTTATGAGCAATGACACGATGCACATAACCAAGTCTATGCAGGAATCTGTACGTTCTCCAATGTTGTATATATTTTTAGTACCCGGCCATTGTTTTTATTATCCAGTTCGCAATTCGCCTTTGTCTCAATCTGGATCAAGTTAAAAAAATCTTATTCTAACAGACTTCTTCCTTCAACACAAATTACATCGAAAGTAAAACAACATCACAGTAGTCTACACAGGCTCCATAAATCATTTGATTACCATAATCACAAATAAGAGAAAACTTCTTAATAGTCCCATCTGTTGTAGCCAATCAACTATCAAGTTTTCTTTGAAAGAATTCTGTATGAATCAATCGTACGTGAGAGTATCAGGTATTAAAACTAGCGCTGTGACCTTGAAATCCATTAAACGTTTCTGATTGGCTCACTCATAAATGATAATGTCGTCGAATAGTTTATTTTCAAATATCAAGATTATTAATATTTCTTATTGGGATGAGATTATAATCCATAAACAACCTTTAAGCGATGCTAAAGTGACTTTAAGAATGGAAACCTACTGATTAGAACTAAGTGAGGGTTATGAATCAGTTAGAAATCTCACTTACAATTGATAATTAAGGTTTTAAAAAAGTAGATTTAAGGTTTTCATCACAAACTAACATTAGCTATAATGCTACATTCACTTGCTCATAAAAATATAGTTTACAACACAACAAACCTTTCTCCAGTAAAATTATTCACAGACGATCTATTTGAAAAAATAATCAACGATATGATTAAAATTACTATGATTTGGGATATCATTCCAGCATGCAATGAACGTTCGGTGTAACACAGTCCGACTTGGAGAATAAACATTTACAACCAGATCAAAATTCATATCATAATCTAGTTATTTAATAAATGAAAAACATACATTACTTACTTACTTACTTATGCCTGTTATTTCTAATGGAGCATAGGCCGCCGACCAGCATTCTCCAACCCACTCTGTCCTGGACCTTCTTTTCTAATTCCATACAGTTCTTGTTCATTTTCCTTACGTCTATCTCCATTTCCCGGCGTAATGTGTTCTTTGGTCTTCCTCTTTTCCTTTGGCCTTGAAGATTCCATGTGAGGGCTTGTCTTGTGACGCAGTTGGGTGCTTTCCTCAATGTGTGTCCTTTCCACTTCCAGCATTTCTTTCTGATTTCTTCCTGCGCTGGGATCTGGTTTGTTCTCTCTCACAGTAGGTTGTTGCTGATAGTATCTGGTCAACGGATCTGAAGTATTCTGTGTAGACAACTGTTAATAAACACCTGTATCTTCTGGATGATGGCTTTCTTAGTTCTCCAGGTTTCCGCCCCATATAGTAGAACTGTCTTGACATTTTTATTGAAAATCCTGACCTTGGTGTTGGTTGACAGGTGTTTTGATTTCCAGATTTTTTTCAATTGTAAATATGCTACTCTTGCTTTACCGATCCGCGCTTTCACATCTGCATCAGACGCACCATGTTCATCAATGATAATTAATATAAATAAATAAATAAATAAATAAATAAATAAATTAATTAATTAATTAATTAATTAATTAATTAATTAATTAATAAAAAACATACATTATAACATGAGGAGTTCTATGATTACATGAACATAGAGATGACCGTTATTACACACTGGATGATACACTAAATTTACGTGGAAACGTTGCATGTACATCCATCCTTAAATACGGGTGAGTTACGTGCCAAAAAATTCATGACCTATTATCTTATATCTGATTGGTTCATTTATAAAATTCTAATCTCGATTTGATTGGTTCATATTTACTACTCATCTCAATGTTCATTGGTTCATTGAAAACAACACAATATAATAAAAAGAGTCATGTTACCATGTGAACTTTTATTCATTATTGCTATTGTTTTTGGCTTGTATCTTCTCATTGAGGTTTAAGACTGCAATTGATCAGTCTGTTATTGGCATATGTGCATACTGTGCGTATTCCTCGATATTACCTTCATTCACATCCAGCTGACCAGTACCAAATAGGACGAAACGCGCGTCCTGGATTCCAATGCTAGCCACCATCCATCATTGCTTATATCTGATTGGTTCATTTATAAAAATATAATCTCGATTTGATTGGTTCATATTTATTACTCATCTTAATGTTCATTGGTTCATTGAAAACAATACAATCTAATAAAAAGAGTCATGTTACCATGTCAACATTTATTTATTATTATTATTATTAGTAATCTAATGAGTAACATTATGTTAATAAGATTATTAATTACAATTATTATTATTTCATTTATCTTATTATGTGCTATTCATCCATCTATATGGTTTATCATTAATCATCAATTATGTTTAAAAGAGAATAGTCCATTATATAATCATTGGTTTAATTCATCTATACCAATTTATATACAATTTTATTTTTTTAATTTAACAAATCCATATGAATTTCAAAATGGTGCCAAACCTAAATTAAAACAATTAGGACCATATACATATAATATTAAATATTATAAATTCAATATACAACATAATTATAATAATAATGCAATAAAATATCAACAATATAAACGATATTATTTCAATTCGAAATTATCAATTGGACATGAAACCGATCATATAACCCATATCAATTTAGGATTTGTTGCCATAGCAACTAAATTGAATTCGTTACCACGGTTAATTAATTATTTGATTGAATTATATGAAAAATATCATCATTATAAATTAATACAAATTAAAACAATTCAACAATTATTATGGGGTTATAATGATGAATTCTTCTTATTATTATCTAATTATGGATTTAATATAACAATGACAAAGATTGGTTTATTATTAAATTATAATGATACATTCAATGATGATATCATCATTCATGATGGTTTAAAAGATCCTAAAAATTTGGGCAAAATCATACAATATAATAATAAGACTAAATTGAATGAATGGACAACAATCACAGCGAATATGATCAATGGTACTGATGGTACAATCTATCATACTTATATAAATAAACAAGAGAAACCCTATATATTTCTGAATGATTTATGTCGTTCCATTCAATTAACAAGAGATTCAATCAAACAAATGAATCATTTAAATGTATTTAAATATTTATTATCTGAGGATACATTTAAATCTGGTGAATTCTATGAGAAGAATAAAGGATTTTGTTTAAATTGGTCAAATTGTTTTAAAGATGGTGTATTGGATATGTCATCATGTCAACCGAATGCACCAATTGTGATATCACAACCACATTTTTTAAATGTATGTTTCAGTTTTTGTTTTGTGTGTGTTTATGAGTGTGTGCGTGTGTGTGAGTGACATGTTTTGATCATTTGAAATCCCCATGTTTATTAGTATTCATTGGTTGAATTGATTAAGTAGGTAGTGAATGAGAATACCAGTGAGTACAGTTGAATGTATTTGAATCTGAGATTCGATTACTTACTCATTTTACCCCTCATGGAGGAGCAGTATAGTCCGATCATCAGAAATCTCCATCCAACTCCGTCCTAGATTATCTGTTCCATTTATCCTTTTCATGTCTGTTTCCATTTCCCGACTCAGTGTGTTCTTTGGCCTTCCTGTTTTCTTTTTCCTTTCACAACTCCAGAATAGGGCTTGCCTCGTGATTCAGTTTGATGATTTACGAAATGTATGTCTTATTTAATTTCAAAGTCTTTTTTTTTTCTCATTTCCTCTTCAGCTGAAAGCTGGTTTGTCCTCTCCCATAGTGGATTGTTATCTGACTAACGAACATTGAGTATCTTGAGTAGAAAACTGTTTATAAATACTTGTACATTTTTGATGATGGTTGTAGCAGAAAATATTTCATTTGAAAAATGTTAATAAATTGACTCATACTTGACTGTTCCTTCGTTTCCACACCAATCATTCCCTGTTTTAGTTCTCTTTTTTCCTATCTTCCTAATTTTCTGCCTCCAAGTATTTCACTTTCTATTCACGATACATACTACTTATATCTGTGGACATCAGTAACACACATCATGGTATGACTGATGAGATTAAAATTCACAGGTTCAATACAACGAGCCTATATTACTGATTTTGATAATGACTTCGACTATTTCATTCTCATAAGTAATCAGTCAGTGAATAGATAGTCAATAATTCAATAATCTTTATTTAAAAATGGGAACCTAAATATATATAGGATGGTTTAATTTGCCTCATGAATTTTCTAAGGCTTATAATAAGTTTTCTGATGGAAGTTTGTTCCCTGATCTGGATGGTTTGATCGTGGAACTTTCGTTGTCATTCTGAACGAAATCATCAACAAACACTTCAGGCAGAAGTGAGGCCCTCACATTTCTTCACATATAGCTCACAGGTTAATAGAATTGAGGTGACCTCGATAAGCTATTGTTGACCATTAACTTGTTATTGTTTACTCCTGATCTACAAATCTCCACTATCTCAAAACCATATATATGTATTCCTTTCATCATAAACTTTCATTTGACCTATTGGCTACGATTATACGATTTACCATTGTTAACTTATTCCCATTACGTCGGGAAACAGAATCAGATATGAAAAGGACGAATAAAAACTGGAAAGGATTGCCCAAGACAGGGTTGGATGGAGAATTTTGGTGTGCGACCTATGCTCCTCGACGAAAGGTGACAGGTGTAATTAGTAAGTAAATATTGGTTAGAAGTCGAATGGATTTAACCATGAGGTCAACGCTTTTTCTTGGTGAATACTAATATAAGTTAATTGACCAACAATGATGTAGTTTGTTATATACTACCTACTTTGATAATGAGCTAAGTTTGGTAATACAAATAAATCATCATCTAGAAACAAACTGCTATCAATAATATTGATTTTATAACTAGACTTTTTATGATATAAATGTGTTCGTAGATTATTGTCCGAAAATAAGTTATGTTTATAAACACTGACTATATATCATTATACATTTTGTGTGCATCTATGCGTATATGGTTAGTTACGAGTACATGTGAAATTTACATTATGAGTGAGGTATTCACATGTGTATATGTTTCTCATATTCCAGATCACATTATATTGGGATTTTTAGATCAGTTAAATATTGTAGTTCAATGGTTGAATTCATGAGTCCATTAAAGTTAGACCACTATGGAAATCCTGGAAGCATTGAATGACCGTTTTGTCCTAGTATGGGACTCTTCAGTAGTGAGCATTCACTATCCTGCACGAGCGCGAGACCGATGGGTCCTGGGTTCGAGTCCCGCTGATACACTGTTCACGAGTCAGTGTCAATCAACTGAATATAGGAAAATTGTCTATTCACATTTGATTGTGATAGCAAACTCCTTGAAATTTGACAAAAATATTGAATGAGTTGAAGATACTGATTTGCGAATACTATTGTGAGGATTTTTTGGAAATGTAGTTGGAGGTGAAGATGAGACGAGTGTGTTGCCATGAATATACTGTCGTATTTTAATGAGAATTCTATATTGTACCAAACATATAATACCGCATAAAGCCAATAATAATCATCGGTGTAGTATTTTGAATATAATGATGAGATTGATATAGTCTGAGTATTATAGTGTTTATAACTTCAAGTCCCATATTTATTCAACAGACTAGGTAGATACACTAAGGAGAAGAATGAATGTTAGAATGTAGAGGAAGATTTTCGAAATCTCACAACACTGAATGAATTTCATTAGACGGTTATTGTAAATCAATAAGCACTGGATACGTGTTCTATATGATTACAGAATTACTCAACATTGTATGTACAGGACCTCGCCATGAAATAGATCCATGGCCTTCGTGTTTCGAAACGGGCACCTAACATTTGGACCAATAAGTTAGCATGTATTGATTAACCTTTCAAACTTTAGTTCGTTAATGATAATGTGCAACCGTTTTCTAATACTCATCATAGATAACTGCATTACTGTGAACATGGTTGAACTTTGCTGGGTACAACTACTCGTTAAAACTCCATGTATTACTTCTCCAAATTAACCACAGATGATTATTATTAGTATGATGGATACTCTTTGCTGACAAGTCTCATAATAAAACAAAGTCATTGTCCACAATTTCTTTGTTTTCAGTGCTTGTGTAACAAGATTCAGTTTATAATTTAGAAGTACGAAATCCAATCATCTTCATAACTCACCATATTAAAGAAACGTTTTATCTGGATTCTCTATACAATAAAACGTTTTCAAAAACCCTAAATTACTCAATATCATATACGTATTTAAACCTACTTGTACGGTTTATTGAAATTACAGTTGATTATACACCTCTATCAATATTCTTTGACATTCAATAACTAAGTGTATACTCAACATTAAGTGTATGTATACATTCTGATATTGAATATCATTCTATTCCAAGTGCGGTTTATCTTATCATGTTAGCCGCAACCTGCATGAATATCTGATCTACCTGTACCTGACATCAACATTTCACTTTTGTTTGTTTTAACACATTATTATGTTTATTAATGGCATAACCGATTTAGACAGGTTTATGAAATGTTTACCATCTTTCCCTGTACAACTTACAAAAAGTACATTCAGAGTGCATTGTGTTAGATGCTACTCTGCATTGAAAAAAATGACCAGTGTTCACATGTTGATTCCTGAACTGCTAAAATCTAACTGGTGATCACTCAGTATTTATCATCGGGATAGATAAAAAACAAAGTGAGAAAACCTGTTGAAATACTTTGTGCTGAAAATTCTATATTGTACCAAAAATAGGTGAGACTATCATTTATGAACGACCTTTGAGCGACGCTCTGGAAGATGTAGAATCCTTCATGTACCTGGGAAGCATCATCGATGAGCAAGGAGGACCAGATGCAGACGTAAAGGTGAGGATTGGCAAAGCAAGGACAGCATTCCTACAATTGAAGAATATATGAAACTCAAAACAAATGTCTATCAACCAATATCAAAGTCACAATTTTCACAATCAACGTCAAGGCAGTTCTACTGTATGGAGCTGAAAATTGGAGAACTACTACAACCATCATCAAGAAGGTACAAGTATTTATAAATAATTGTCTACGCAAGATACTCAACATCCATTGGTCGGATACCATCAGTAACAGCCTACTTTGGGAGACAACAAACCAGCTTCCAGCTGAAGAAAAAATTAGGAAAAGATGATGGAAATGGATCGGACATACATTTAGTAAATCATCAAACTGCGTCACGAGGCAAGCGCTAACTTGGAATCCTGAAGGGGTGCGGAAAAGCGGAAGGCCAAAGAACACATTACGTCGGGAAATAGAATCAGATATGAAAAGGATGAATAACAACTGGAAGGAGCTTGAAAGGATTGCCCAGGACAGTTTTGGATGGGGATTGCTGGTGAGCGGCCTATGCTCCTTCACGTGGAGTAAAAGGCGTAAGTATGTATGTTTGGGCGACTCTAAACTAACCTTGAGAGTGCCCATCTAATAACTAGGACAAAATGAGGGTTATAAACAAATGTGAGGAATTAGAATTATGATTTACGGTTGATGTTTAAAGTTAAGAATTAAATTTAGGGTTTTCATCATTAACATACATAAGCCTTAATGCCAAAACTCTATTTATACAAGTAGGTGAGTGCATTTCGCGTCAAAATCCGACACCTGTACTCTTATACCTGACTGATTATTCGTCCATAGTCTCGCTCAAAAATATAATATTGAATAAAGCCATTAATAATATTAATAACATTCCAACCAACAATCATAAGGAAATTACTGAAATTCTATTGAGATTCTATAACCAGTGGAATGTAATCGTATCAAGTGTAAGGAAGTGATTCACAAAAGACTCTATAAAAGATAATCACGAAATATCATGTATAAATTAAAGTTCCAATTTCTAAACCCCATAATGTACTGGCTCAATAATTTTGGCATTAACTATTCCTGCACTAAACTTTAGTTCTTTCATTCAATCCTATATCGGAACATATAGATATACATTGTTGAATTGTATACATTTGATACTTTATACTAACTATATTTCATATATTTATTATATAAACAATCTATTCAACTATATAATATAGATAATACATAATGAACATTGAATATTAGAAAGTTTCCATATTTGTTTATCTCTATTGTTTATATATATAAATGCTAAGTGATCATAAACATACCTCTATTCTTTTTTAAAAAAAAATTAAATTATATGATACCATTTGAATATATCCATTTAAGATTATTACATTTAGCATAGTAACACATTGTTTTCCAAAAAAATATTATTGAACATTGA